GAGTAAGATTTCATTTGCATTGGATGGAAACTGTGGCCAGATTCCAGAGGCAAGTTGCAGTCCACCCATTTAAAATGTCTTCCCACAATAAAATAATCATGTATAGACATCCCATAAATAAATGACGGCAACCTTTCACATTCTTACCAGCTGCCCTGTCCAAGGCCTGTTGTTGCTCTGCAGGTTGCATCCAGTAGCACTTGGCCCTCCATCCCAACCCGTCCATGTTTCTGTCTGTGAAGATTTCATCTCAGTTCTCTCCCTCTCCCTCTGCCTTCCCTATCCCATATTCTCTTCCCAGAGTCATGCAGCAGGCTGAATTTGTTCTGACTTGAAATACTGGCCTGGTGCAAACCCTGTAAACATATCTCAGACTGTGTTGTTTCAGTATGACCGGGCGTATCAAGACCTGAAAGGATTTTCCAAAAATGGGGATCACTTCTGCAAGCAACTCCTGTCGATTCTTCAGCAGAGGTATGTATGATCAACCTGACTGAATTCAGTCCCGTCCTCTGCTCCAGGGCTGACTTGTTTTTGCAGAATAGGGAGCAAGAGTCAGTGCCATTTGGAAGAGATGTTAAGAAAGCTTACAATGGAACCCTGTGTGACTGAATGATGTGTCTATGGCTTGGCCTTGCGCTGCCTGGAAGCTAACACCTCATCCAGTAATTACTAGGGTATGTCCTGTCAAGAGAAGTGGGTGAATTGAGCAAGGAGTAGATCTTGCTGAGAACACCTGCTTGGCATGCAAAGGACACAGGGTCGGTCCCTGGCATCTCTGGGTAGGCTTAGAAAAGCTCTGCCTGAGGCCCTGGAGTGCTGCTGCTAATCTGGGACCCTGCTTGCACATGCCACTTGGCTGCTGTGCCCGAACCACGGAGCTTCATAGAGCTCTCTGGCTACTGTTCTGAATGTGTAAGTGGCGGCACGCTTGCAGCTTGCCATGTTGTGTGAACATGCTTGGAGAGGGCAGGCAACCCTCCAATAACCCATATTTTGCTTTAAAACCTCCTCAATACATCCGTGACAACACACTGATGGGAGATGCACGTCTAAACATGCATGGAACTGTGCCTTTGTGCAATGGGAAGTCATTTTAGATTTTCCCTTTAAATTAACGAGACTTTAAAGTCTCAGCTTCAATAGGATTGTGCCTGTGTTGTTTTGCTGCCATTACCCTTGATTTTGTAAAGTTACAGATGAAGTTCCAGAAGATTTACTAAGATGTATTTCTACTCAAGTGAAGAGGGACAGCATTTTTGCTCTAGCTTATTCCATCCTGAAAATCCAATACATTTTACTGTCAGCTGTTTTTAGTAGACAGTGAGGGTTTCATTAGATGAACATGCCAACTAGAAATTGCTATTCTGCTGAAGATTTGACTTGCATCTTAAATGCCAGGCCTCCCTTTGTACAAGGTGCCTTTGCAAAAAAGCATCGCTTCTGCAAATATGATGAACTGTGTCATCATGTCTGCACTAAAGCAAGAGCCAAATTCAGTGGCACACAAAAAATGGCAATTCACTTCATGTTGTATAAGCTGCGCTATTGCTATTGCTTTCATGATAGCTAGTTAATAAAATGTCACTTGTAATTTCTTCTCATCTATATATTTATATGCAGCTTTTCCATGACATTGTGCCCAAAGCATCTCAAACATAAGAAACGAAGAGCAGTAAATGTAATTTGCAACATATACGATAGCAATAAATATATCCATGTTTATAAAATACAATAGAAGGCCATTCCAAATAACCATCATGTTGGCAGAGAAAAGCATAGTAGAGTTAACCGTGCATCCGGTCACCAGTAGCACAGTACAAAAAACTGATCCAACCCAACAACTGAGCATTATATATAAGGAACACACCCTGTGAGGTAGACCTCCATTCCATGGAGGCAATGTGAGGGTTTTCACTCTTAGTCTGCAAGCCCAAGTCAGCAGCCAGAGCTCTTGCTTTTATCAGCCTTCCTCCTGCCTTTCAATGAGGCAAAGCACATTTGGTCCTCACAAGAGCCCATGAATGTAACTTAGGAACATAGGACACAGTGTGGTGGCCGACCACCAGTCATTCCCTAGGACCCTGCTCCGTGGCCCTTTCCACCACAGATTCCAAAGATGGATGCCTGGGACCCTCTGCATGCAAACAGGGTGGTCAACCAGCAGCCCCAAATACTTGGCCGCTTGCTGTTCATGCCTGTGAATAGTCTGTGTGAAGGAGGCGTTGCAGATTAAGCTCCAGAGATGCAATCGTCATTCTGTTTCGGAGACAATGGTGCTGGTTCAAGCCTCTGGTGATCAAGTGACTCAGGCCTCATGTGAAGTCCCCTGCCAGCTGCAGCACTGGCTGCTGCATCCCAGCCTATGTCCTCTTCCCACCCTTCTCTGTGTTGATGCTGCCACCGTATCAGTTCTGTAGGGAGCTGAAAGGTGGGAAGAAAGGGCTGTGTCTCCCCAGGGATTTGGCCCAGCTTCTGCAAGACTTGCAGCGGATCCTTCTGGCTGCTCCATGCGGCAAGGAGAGGGTGGGCAGCTGTTCCACCAGCCACTCTGTAGCTGTAGCGGCAAATGCAATGATGAAAGGGCAGCCAGAGGGTTCCCCAGAGGGCCTTCTGGAGGAGGAGGCCAGCTTCCCTGGTAGGGGCATGAGGGATAGCACAGATGGCATCTGCCCTTCTCCTACTGTGTCATCTGATGTAGGCACCTCATCTTGCTTCATGGGTGGGTCAGCCCCAAAATGATGAGCAATCCAAGGGAAGAGATTGTGTCTAGAGTGGCTTTTATAGAGGAGCCACTCTAGACACCATCTAGAGGCCTGCCTCCTACACAATGGCCTTCTCTGCCTGAAAGTCTGTCCTGCACAGCTCTGATTTAAAAATAAGGAACCTTGAGAACTGTTGCCCAACAAACGCTGGTGCCTGGATAACAGGTTGTGGTCACCTGGACACAGTCTTCAACATTTTGGTGAGGTGTATTTCTATTTAAGTTATAGTAATTATTTCCAAATTTACATCTATATTTATGAATGACTGCATGCAAAGGTGATACAAATCATGCCCTCTTTTGTCCCATTTCACCTTCTCAATAGTAATGCAACAGCAGTTTAAGTAGACAAGGCATCAAGTTAAGTTAGGTGGCCAACTAATTCCTCTGTCCAGCCATGTTACAGACATGTATGTTGAGACTAGCACAGAGGCAGGGGTTGTAATCAGTGCCTCTAAGGAGTGTGGGCTGAAAGGCAGGGACTGGCCTCAAGTCACCCAGGGGCTCCATGGCCCAGTGGAGACTAGAACTTAGTTCTTCTGATTCAGCCGTAACCACTACACCTCACTGGCTGATCGTCACTTTTCCCCTTAGTGCAGCGTTTCCACGCCACAGAAGGTGCGGGCTTGCTTGTTTTTGCACCCATTGCCCTTGCTTGCATGGCAGCCTGGAGGCTGCTCCCCTGGACCACATCCCTGCCCTGCCCCACATAGATCGAGCACACGCTAGGCAAAGCAGCCAGGAGAGCCGAGGGGCACAAACCAATTTTCTCATGTAAATTGCATGAACACTGAGGGCAAACAGGGCATGACTGTTTCATGGCAGTGCATTAGGAGAGCACATGGGCGAGGGGTGCGTCTGTCTCAGAGCCGCACTGCTGAGCCACACAAATTATGGAGCAGCGCGCTAGAGGGAGCCGGCTCTGAGATGACAGATAATTGCTGTCACTGCACACAGAGCTGCTCGCAGATGAATGTACCAGGAGTGAAGTTCTGAAAATGTGTTCACATGGGAAAGTTAAGACCAACTCTCCATTGGAAAAGAAGATCATCCGGAAGGGTGGCCACATAGTCTTGTTCCTGCAGGCACTTAACGTGCTGGGGGGATCAGAGGGAAACTGCAGTCTGAAGTGAAACGCTCACAGTTAGTCAAGGTCCAAAATGGCAGGCTTGACTTTTTGTTATTTATGTATTATATTTGATAGCACACCCATTTTTCCTACAAGGTGCACAAGGCAAGATTACAAAATCCTCCACCTCCCCCATCCTCAGAACAACCCTGTGAAGCAGGCTTGACCGTACACAGTCAAGGAAGCTGGTGAAAAGGGTGTAGCAAAGAGGTGGAAATGGGTAGATTTAGGCAGGGGAGAAAAGAAATAAAAGAGTGACGCTAATTGCCTGAACTAAGAACTCAATATTTCTCACTTCCTGGTTGCTTGTCAAAAGTGAGAAAACAGCAGCGAGTGCAGATGCCCTCTGGATGCTCGGTTTTGTTGCTGGTGAAGGAAGTGGGGCCTAGGCCTGAGCATGAGCACTGTGTCCCTCGCTGGCCTTGCGGACAACAGTCTGCACCACGTTGCCCACAGCAACCCAAAAGGATGGTGCCCAGATGGGGAGCAGCGGTGCAGGCACAGGGGCCGATCTAGAGCGGGCCTGTGACAGGGTGTACTGGGAAAGGGGCTAAAAAGTCCCGCCACATGCACCTGCGGGTGAGGCTGGGCCCCTGTGCCCACTCGAGAGTAAAAATGAGGCAGGGGAAGTAACACCTGTTTTGGCTCTCAGTCCAACCATTCCCAGGCTCAGGGATCTTGCTTACAGCTGCCGTTTCTCCTCCGGACTTGGTTTCGTTAGCCAAAGTGGCTCTCTCTGACTCTCTGAGCTTGCCCCGTATGGCTTTGATCCTGTGCTGCATACCGAATCTGCTTTCCGTGGTTTTGTTCACCCTTCTTAATAGGCAACCCAGCTGTATGTGGAAAGAAGTATCATTTGGGCCAAGGTTTATACTGTGATCGTTTTTATTTATTTTTATTTATTTAAAACTTTTGTATCCCACCTGCTACCAATGTCTCAGGACAGTCTTGTGTAGGAAGGAGACCCTCCCCCCTTTCTTTCCACCCCAGGGCAGCTTTCCAAAGCAAGCAGAGAGAAATTAGTGAATATGTCATAAGCTCCGGTTACTTCTTTGACAGGGCTAACTTAGAGATTACATACAGTAAAGGGCTGGAGAAAATGGCCAACAAGCTTACCAAAGTGCTGGACAAGATGAAGGTCAAGTAAGTGGCATCCCCTTTTCTAAATAGCTCCTGCGGGGTTCCAGAGCTTCTTGCGTGCATGGCAGTGGGGAGGGGGGTGCCCTGGAAGCAAGCATCTTTCTCTCCTCCTCTGAGTCTGATCGCAGGAAACTCCTGCCGAGCTGAAAGCTTGCCTGGCTGGACTGAGCTGCTGGTTTGGGGGCACATTCTGGTTTGGGGGCATGCAGGAGGTGGGCTCTCTGCACAGT